GATATGTTAGGTAGAGGGGCAACATGGAATAAATATACAAGGGCAAAATGAATAAATATGCAAAATACTAAAGGGTAAATAGGCTTGAATCTCTTTCCCCACAAATCGGAGAGGAGTTGTAATAGAGAGGAGTGCCTAACAAACCGGCGGTTTCTCCTTTCCGACTCAGCCTATAAATAGGCCCGAATCTGTATGACATGAACAAGCATAAATTATTCCTTCAACTATCTAAGTTTTCTTATTCTCGCTCTCTCTCTCTCTCTCTCTCGCTCTCTCTCGTTGGCTCTGTCGCTCTCCCTCTCTCTCTCTCTCTCTCTCTCCCCTATAGAGTTTTTGTTTTACTATTCTAGGCATCGGAAGATAATATTGGGTTACCATTTGATAACATGTATCATATAAGTTTCCTTGGAGAGAATTTCGAGTCCAAATAGCATCTTCATAAAGTTTATAGGTTACAAAAGATCGCAACCTTGCAGAGTGTCGATTGATTTTATTTTCTCCACTTATCTGTATTGATCAAGTTTCATAAAGCGGATTGTAAACAATTATTTGTAATTGAACTATATACTTGATAGAACGTAACTAGAAGAACTTTGCTCATTTTTTCAAGTCCATCTAATCTTCCTTTTACTCCAAACACGCTTTGTCCAATATCAATTTGTAAAAGTGAATAAAAAGTGAAAGGGCACTTTTAGAAACCTCGAGAGTTGTTTTGCAGTGGTTTTGGGGTTTCACCTATCGGGAACTTCTGAGACTAATGCTGGAGGTGGTGTCAACCACCTCCTTGTGGTGGCTGGCGAACAAGCTGACCCACTTTTCTGGTTTAGGTTTTTTATAAAAAAAATTATTTATTATTATTGTTGTTATTGTTATTATTATTATTATTATTTATTTATTTTTTAAATGAATGAGAGACAGGATGTATCTGCAAGAAGTAGATGGAGTATTTTGGGAAGTTAATGTTGAGAACTTAGGGAAACGTGATGGATTGAATTTAAGCTCTGATACCGTCTGTGTCTCTCCTTTTCCTAATTGGTTACCATCCAAGAGGAAATGGGTTTACTTTTCTTGAGTTCTGCATAAACTTGTCTGTGAGAATTTCTTAACATTGCAACCTTTATGTTTCTATTCCATGCATATCAGAAAAACATCACTTTGGTATTCCTAGATTTGATACCTAACAGTGTACTGATTCTTAATTTTTCCTTCTAATTTTTATCTAAAAAAAAAACAGTGCACTGATTCTTGTACATTCATATCAAGGAATTTGGATTAGACTTGGAAGCATGATGATACTGTATAAATGTTATTGGAAAATTAAGATTACATGTGCTTCAGGAATAGGTGGTGTAATTATGGCCAGTTAATGTATCAGAACAAGTACAAAATGCTCAGAATATATAACTAGTTGAAATACTTAAAATCAATTAAGAGAATATTTTTCAACTTCTTCAGTAGGATTAGAAAATCAGAGCCGTTGATATTAACTTCATGCATGGCATGGAAAATAGAGATCTGAACTGTATACATGGGCTGAGAAGTGACTTACTTTCTTCACATCTTCGAATGAATGTGTATACTTATTGCGCCTTCATAGTTTATACAAATACAAGGCGGCAAGTCATCATCACAAGAGAATCACCTGATGAAATTTGGACTCTTAGGAATGAGGCAAGATTCTCTCCACTAGCTGTCAATTGGGCCAAATTAACTTTGGATGGATTAATTTTCTTATTTTTCTGAATATTTGGATGGACTACCTACTTATTTTGCTGGGTATCTGTGTACCTTGGAAACACACTCTTTATGTCGCCCATCT